TTACTTTGGTAAAACGGTAAAAACACTAAGCACAAAGTTTATGAACTTAATTTTGCATAAAAATAAACCAAAATTAAATAAGATTCATAGTCTGTGATGCTTTGAAATAAATAAGGTAAAATTAAACAAGATCTGATAATTTTTTTAAAAAAAAATAATGAACATTTTCAGGCAGTGATTTTCAGAACTATAATAACATTACAAAATGATCATTTATTTGATTACATCATCATTAACTTATTAACATTAAAGTGGAATATTTATTTTAGTAATTTATAAAATTTGTAGCATAAAATTTTCTGAGTGTAATGAAGGGGAAAAAAAAGGTAAAATAAAATCTATAGAAGCATTAAGATATTATATTACGCCCAAAAGGAACCTAACATTAAAGTGGAATATTTATTTTAGTAATTTATAAAATTCGTAGCATAAAATTTTCTGAGTGTAATGAAGGGAAAAAAAAGGTAAAATAAAATCTAGAAGCATTAAGATATTATATTACGCCCAAAAGGAACCTTTTTTTTTAACGTTTTGTGTCTTACCTATATTTATTGAATATCATGTTCTTCGCCCATAAACCACATACATTTGAAAACTGCATATCTTTAGAATTTTCGCACTAGAGATAAAAATGTTATTTTCCGTAGTGTTACGATTGCTTGCTTTGAACTCGTTGAGTTTGTTAATCAAAAATTCGTTAAAAGTTTTACAAAATATGAAATAGATTAAAATAAATTCAAAATTCGCCCATCCAAATGGCCATGCTCAGGTGGAGGATTACATTAATCAAAATTTGATGGCTCTAGATACCGTCGTTTTTGTCACAGTGCGAGAAACATACATGAATTCATGCAGATTCTTTGTTATTTAATTTCTTTAAATATAATACAGGGCGATAATATTTGGTAACAACAATTTGCAAGGAAACACAGACATTTATAGTGAAACAGTGCAAAATGCCGCTTCGAGCTAGTAAATTAAATTAACAGTAAACAAACAACAACAAAAAAAAAAAATCTTATGCAGAACTAAAAATAAATTTAAAAAATAATCACTATAAAATACAAGCAAAATTAATTATTACGGTTAAATACAATTTTAATATTAGAATCAAATCTATAAAAATTAAGATGTCAAAAATGTTTATCACTATGATGTATTATGAAATATAACTGAAATAAAATTCCATTATAGATATTGTGCTATGATACTTATCTATAATTTTAAAAAAGCAGCACAATTTAGAATTTTAAACAAAACTTTCAAAAGTTCGTTTTTAAATATTTTAGTATTTTTACTTATTACACCAATAAAAATTGCAAGAGAAAATTGCTTGTTTGAAATTTTCTATTAGTTCAGATTTAAAATATTATTTTCTAAAAGAAGTAGTTACAAATTTAATTACAGCATAAGAAAAGCTAAAAAAATATCCAGCCCTGAAAGCGTGCAATAGCTTTATAATTATTTGGAACGCTATTTATGCTTGATAAATATGCTAAATTGTTAAAAATCAATCTCAGTTTCAAAAATAAAAATATGTAAAAATTCTAATTTGTGAAATGAGGCACTACAATCAGCTTTTTCTTGACAATTATACACGCTGCAATAGGCAACCACCGTTAAATTTTTGCAAGGTTGTCCCTACTACTCCGGATGTTATCAAAGGTGACAGCTGGGAACGTGTCTGACGAAGGAGAAAACCCATTTGGGTTGGTCTATTTCTTATAAGGTCCATGTCATTAGCCTGATGACATCAGGATGAGTCATCAGGTTGCTCATTGGTGCCAACAAACCGAACGTCTATTCCATGTGCAGAGAATTTCATTGCACGCTGGCACAATAGAACGAACTGTTTCTTGTTCAGCCAGTGGATTAAATTATATTTATTAATTGATTTTAACATTTGGAAATCATATATTCTGGGAAAAACATCTTGACAATTTTTAAAAACAAAACCAGGGATATGGTGTTAGATAGGTAATAACTTATATACTGTCTGTAAGACACAATGAATGGTAGAATTTGAACTGTTCTGTTAAAATTTGTTTCTTTTTTTGTTAACAAAACAAAATTGTTTTTCAGGGTATTATTTCTATAAATATAATACATCACTGAAATTACTTTACCACACTAAAACATTTTCCTTTATATTGATGAAATACTTCTTTTATATTTCCATAAAAACAAAATCTTACACTATATAAATTTAAGCATTAACCATCTGCAAAATTATATGGCCAATTAATCAGTTAAAAAACCAAAAGCACTTCAGCACGTAAGTTCCCGCTCTAATACAACGCTTAATAAACTGTACCTTCGGATGATTCTGAATGCCAAGTGCAGGAAAAATAGCTGCACTTGCCTCAGTGCTATAGTATGCTGTGCTTCTCCAGTAGCCCATACATATAACGTGTGATTTTCTATTAGTGCACAGTGCGTACACATCAAAACTTCCTATGTTCATTTGCTTTTGAACGCGCTACATGGTGCAGCGCCTAGTACCGCATGTGCTGTGGGAATACAAGCAAGCAAATCAACATAATATTTGAATATATTATAAATAATATTTATTATATACCATATAAAGATAGGTGCATAAAATTATTGTCTCAATTTTGTCAGGGTGTGAAGTGCACACCCTGCACATATGGATTGCACGCCACTGATTAGCAACCTTATGCACTTCATTACAGAGAGCGCAGATCTTATTATAATAAGATGAAAAGATAATGTGTTGACTAAATATAAAGTGAAAAAATAGAAAAACATCAAATTATAAATTAAAAAGTATAAATTAAAGTACCTTCAGGATTCAAATCAATAAAGAAAATGTGTTTTTATGGTTTTACAAAAGTCAAACATTTTCAACATAAAATGATGTTTTCTTTGGGACATGCTGTTTGGATCTACACAGAGTGAATTAATTAAAGTTCAAAAACTTTGAGATAAATAAATTGTGGTGGCAAATTACTGCAAATTTACACAGTGAAAGTACAGCTCATGTTAAAATATGCTTTGAAAAACTGAGCTAAAAAAATTGATAAATAAAGCATTTCTTTTATAAATTCAAGTTTTTTATTATAATATTTCAAACAGAATTCTTCTACATTTAGTCAAATTGCAGAATATGAAAAACTAAAAAGTTGAAAATCTAATTGATTTCTGTGGTGCCAACACATAGCATGGCAAATGAAATGTTATAAATTAAGAATCAGTGATGTTCTTTTTTGTTTTTAATTTTAAATTTCATAAATAGTTCTGCAAAAATTATTATGTAAATAATTAAAAATGTGTATAATTTGTTATAGCTAGCATTTTCAAGTTGATCTAATTTATTATTTGTGCTATAACTGTATTTTATGACTTTCATTTTACAGCAGTTTTCTTTTTAAATTTTATCATAAACTACAATACTAAAATAATTCCATATGTTCTTGTATCCATAAATTCTGGTGAAGTTACCATTCTTTTTCTTCAAAAAATCGCAAAATTGTTCCAAGGTGATTGCGATAATACCAAAGTATCAATGAAAATATGTTCATAAAAAACAAAGTTGGCAGTTCTTCCACAGTATTTAGTAAGTTATGCTGAGAAACCGGTGAATTATTTCTGAATAGAGAGGTTACTGTACCAATGGTGAAATCATCAACCATGTACAAAAGGGATCAAAGATTTTATGTAGCATATAAAACAGATTAGAGACATTTTACTTTAAACAATAAATTTCATTTTGTTGATCCAACAATAGTTGCTTGTACTCAAACTGTAGCATTTCGCTAGATGGTGAAGTAAAATTAACGTGGCATGGTTTACTATCATCATGACTCTTACTTTGCAGAATTCATGTGATGAAAGTCCTTCCCGTATAACAAGAAAATGCTTCTAATGCATAAATGCATTAAATGATGAAATTATTCGTGTTTTTGGTAATTTCAAATTTTATAAAGAATTAATTTTGGACAAATAATGAAATATAACTTTTAATACAGTCTTTTGGTTCCTATACTTATATTTGGGTATAGGTTTTAAGGTCATAAGTTTTATACTCATTATGAAAAATTAAAAATACACTAAGTTTAACTTCCTTGCAACAAAAATTTACTGAGGTATTTAATTTCAAAAGTTGCAGTTTTTGATGTCATTTTCAACTTGCTTTGAGGGATTGGTTAATTTGGAATAATTTGAGGAAATACGTTTAAATGAAGTTAAGCATAAAATGTCTATTTTAATACAAGGAAGTCATGGTGTCCACATCAGATTTTTTTCATATATCTTACTGAAGGGCCCATATCTCTACAGGACTCACAGATTCTCTCGATGGTAATGGGCTTACAGTTTGAAAGTGTTTAAAATTACATATAATATAATTTTAAAAATGAAATGACTGGTTGTCCAAAAATTGTGCTATAGCACAATTTCTGTGTAAGAAACTAACTTTTAAAAATAAAACTAATGTTTGTTATGACGTGGGATATAGTATTTATGGAAGTAAATCTGGCCATCCCTTGTATAAACTGCAACTTTCTTAATAATAATTCATTCTATTAGATCATGCAATTGCTTCATCATCTCTCTCTTTAAAAAAAAAAAAATCAAACTGGTAAATCATAGAGCAAAAGACTTATCAAATTTTAAGGTAATTCCCTCATTTTATTTTAATGTTTGAAAATTAAGCCTCATGCATAACAAGCTAAATTGCAGGTACAGGGGGAAATTCTTGAAAGGAGTTGAAACAGTAGTTCAGTAAATGCACAAATAAGAAGAAAAGTACCTTATTGATATATAGATTTATAATATCTGTGTTAGAAATGCAACTTATATGTATTGGTAGATAAAAAAAAATTGAGTAACTCTCTTCATTGCAATATTATTTTTTTTTTCTATGAAACCTCATTATCTCAAGTTATGCTTGTATATGTTTGTGTTATGTTCTTGTTATTATTATTAAGTGTGCATTTGCTTGAAAAATTATTTCACATGAGCATGCATTTTTTTTATAGATGAGGCTGAAGAGGAGGTTGAAATACCTCGTGAAGATGAGGAAGTTGAGAAATTATCAGAGACTTCAGATATATCAGTATTTGATCATTCAAGCTATGCTCGATCTCAGCTGAAAGTGCTGACTGAAAAAATCAGCTATAAAAAGCAAGCTCTCCATGCTTTACGAAATAACCCCAAATGTGATAAAAAGGTATTGACATATATTTTTAACTTATTAGTATGTATTATTTCAGGACCATTATTTAATATCATTCATTAATTTAAAAAAGAAAATAAATTAAATTTGACCATAATTCTTGCTTGAATAGGCTAAAATTTGATCAAACAGTTAATATTTATTTTTTGCTGTTTAATGATAAAATATTAGACTAAGGAAATGGGTAAATAAAAAAAATGCAAAAAAGCAAAAATGCCTAATTGTTGTAATTTATTATATGATTATATTGATACTTTTATGCAGTTGTATGTGGAATAATATTAGCTATATAAAAAATTGGATTTTAATGGATTTACTGATGACCAACAGTTAAGTTTGATGGCATTTGTTGTCAAAATAACAAACTCAAAACCAAGTAATAAGGATTGTGAAATGTTTTTTTCCTTTGTTAGAAATATTTTTAAGTAAAAAATTATATATTTGAAAATAAGTTATTTTCTAAAATTTCCATTAAAATTTTGTTATTTTAAAATACTGTTGTTTTTTTTGGGGGGGGTTAAACTTTTGACATTTTTTTCCTGGCACTTTGATCACTAATAAAGGGGCATTAACAAGATATTAATTTGGATTCTGTTAATAATTATACAATTAGTATGAAATTTGTAAAAATTTTTAAACATATTTTTTCAAAATTAATAAATTGAGACTTGAATTTGTATGTTTTGTACCACTTTTATCAAAAATGTTAACAAAATTTAATGCAAATGTGTGAAAATAATTATTTAAGAGCATAACAGTCTTATACTTCTATGCACATGAAGAAATTTAGTGATCAATGCTTTATGCATGTTTTCAAAATTTGTTAATTGGGAACTTTATTTTTTTATATGTCTGTTTTCTTTGTTCTTAATTTTTATTGTTTTAATATTATGTTGTAATAGGTAATCTCAATGATGGAAAATGAAATTGATGATTTAGTACAAGAACAAAATATGTTAAAAAATCATATTGAGAAGACTGAATTATGGATTGAATATCTAGGTGTCTGGCAAGCTACAATTATGGAAGCTATGGTATTTCCCCCCCCCTTAGCTGTAGTAGTATTTTAAGTTATTCAACCTTTTTACAATGCATTAAGTTTGCTGTAATTCTTAAACAATATATACATTTCTTAAGGGAAAGGATCTAATGAATAAAACTAATGCATCATATAAAATATTAAATGAGTGCATTTCTGATTTAAATAATTTTAAAGAAATGATTATAAATTTTTTAGCATTATTTTTAAGTATTATTTACTTGGATTTTTAAGATATCTGACTTGTTTGTCAAAATATTATTTTGCTTTTCCTCCTTGTAATTAATCACTTTTTCTTCATCTCTAGGAGAAAAAAGAGAATGACAAACTTGTTCCATATTTCGTTATTCAAGTTCATTTAGCCAATGATGCTACTTATGTTCCAAACAAAATGGCTGGTTGGGTTGTGTCCAGGAGTTTGAGTTCTTTCCATAGTTTGCATCAAAAGCTTGTACCAGTAAGTTTTTTGGGGGGGAGAGGGGCAAAATTTTATGTTTTTTAAAATATCTGTTACATTGAGTGTGAAATATAAAAAAACTTCTGATTTGTTCAGAGTTTTTTAGTTAATTTTTTCAAAACTTGACCTGCTATAAAACTTTAAAATCATGGGAAAGTTTTCTCATGTCAGAAAATCTGTTTTGGGTTATATTCATATGTAATTCTTTTATATGAAAAGTCTTTAAATTCCTTTACTGTACATCCTATTTCAAATGTAGTAAAAAATTTAATAGAATTTTTAAAATAACTGTTGTTAGTGATATCTTTTCTTATTTGAATTTATTAAATTCTGAATGTTAACTGCCATTTTAATTATTTTGTTTTGTGGATAAAGCAATATACTTTATATTTTAATGCAAGAATAAGCATTTTTAAATTTTGTAGTTTATAAATATATTAAAATTTTTCAAATGATATACAAAAGGAAATTATTAAATCATCTTCATTTCACTTTATAACTGTTAATTTGTTTGCTACAGAAGAAATATAATTTTCTGTACTTAACAATGTCTTTTTGCTAAGTCTAGATTGTTACAAATCAAGATATGATGGCTTATAATAATTTAAGGAAGTATATTTTTAATATTTATTTCTTCTTGAAATGTATGTTCCTTTAAAAGCATAGTGTATAAAATTATTCAAATGTATTGACTGAATTATTGAAGATATTACAAAGAAATATAACTTTCACTTGAAAACACAAATTATGTGGGAATTAAATGTTTTGCTAATGAAATTAATATGATTTATGACATTATTTATTCCAAAAATAACTTCAAAAATGCTATATCACCCAGTTATTTAAAATTTATTTAAAATTTTGTTTTTTAACAGAGAAATTACCATTATAATTAAAGCAAAATTTTTTTATCATAGTTATAAATCTACTTTTATAAAAAGTTACACAAGCACCAAAATATACAGTGGCCATATGAAAAGGAAAAACTATTTCATGGAAAACTATCATGAATGAAAGGAAAAACTATCATGAATGAAAATATTGTTGTTATTAGTGTTGCAAATTATGTCTGAACTTTAGCTTATTTGCCTTTGACTACTGGTATTCAAACTGAATTACAATTTAGAAACAGCAAAAATAAGTGCTGAATAGCTAAGTTTACTGCTTTTATTTTTTAGCTGTCAAAATGTTGATTTCGAGGAATGTTTCTACAAAGTCTAATTACAACATTACACTGGTGCCCAATTCTGCATCATTTGCTAAGTGATTGTGAGGTAGATTTACTTGGCCTGAGTATACATCACGCTTGTGAGAAAATCTATTAAGACCGCATAAAAATAGTTATGCTTCTTTGGTAGACGGTTGCACGGATTTTGGCGAGTAATACGACTTATGGTAAACCTATTGCTGGACAAGTTATTTATGGTAACCAATACTTTGTTGTCATTTTATTTAAAAAATAATGCATTTTATTATGCATAAATTCCGTGTTTTAAATATTATTTATGGCTTCTAAATATTAAAAATCAATTTAATTTTGCATTTTTATTTGAAATTAAAATTTTGTTGTTTATAATATTTTATATAATTTTATGTTTTGGATGATGTAATCAATGATGTCACCTTACTTAAAAAGTAATTGGTTTTATTAATATATATAACTTTAATCTAATGTTTTAAACATTATTTATGGCTGTTAAATGCTAAAATACAATTTAATTTTGCATTTGTTTTAAAAATGATTTTGTTATGAATGATTATTTAAATAATTTTAATTCTATGCATGATGTAATTAGCTCCCTGGTTGGTTACTGAATATTTGTGTATTACCGCGCCATTTTAAAATTTTATTATTCATCTCTTCGAATTCCTCAGATTTCAAATGGAATGGATATGTCTGTTTCGAAGATGAATGTTGTTATTGGTAATTACCAAGAATTATTGGTACCAGAATAAAAAAATTGCCCTTTGAGACCTTATTTTGGCCAACCTGGCTTTAATAATCAAAGATTTATTTATAAATTGTTAATAACGTCAGAGGAAATTTATTTTAAATTTTTGGAGAAAACCTCGCTAATTGCTTTTTTAGTTAAGTGCGAGAGATGTGGATCACAGATGAAGATTGTTAAAAGACTTTTTTTTTTATGTGGTACTTATCAATATACGACAGGTAAAATACTTTTAAAAAAAAATGTAAGTACGTAATTTTCGTTTACTTTATAATTGTATACTTCAATTTTTATTAAAATTAATACAATGTTTTCAAAAATTGATGAGATATTTATTGTCACATATGTTTTAATGTTAAATAATTAAATCCTATAAAACTTTTTTTTAAGTATTTAAGTAATATTTTAATTCTTTTAAATGTTGGTATGATGTTTTTAATTCGATATTAAATTTAAGTAATATTTTAATCCAATTAAATGTTGGTGCAATGTTTTTATAGCGGTGTTTTTATTCTATTATATGAAAGTAATAATTTAACCTTACTTTAGCATTTTATAGTCTTAGTAAATGTATTTATTTACATTTGCCAGCCATCTTATAAAACAACGTTTTCAACAAAAAATTAATCCATTATTTTTAACGATATTTATTTTTTTACAGTTTCGAATACTTTACTATATGCGTAAAATATGTAAAAACAGCATTTTTCAAGATGGCTGACGACTGTAAAAACCGCGCCGACAATAGCGCCAGTGTAAATCGCCAAAAATCCGTGCAACCGTCTACCAAATTAGCACCGCAAATTATGTCTGAACTTTAGCTTATTTGCCTTTGACTACTGGTATTCAAATTGAATTACAATTTAGAAACAGCAAAAGTCAGTGCTGAATAGCTAAGTTTACTGCTTTTATTTTTTAGCTGTCAAAATGATCTGCTACTTAGACTAACAAAAACAGTAGAATAAAAATTAAAAACAAAATAATCGTGAATAATTATGTTGCCATTTAACATAAAAGAAATATAAGTATGAATATTAACAAAATGTGAAAATGATTTTTTCAAAATAATTAAATACATGCAAAAGTATAAAATACCTGAAATTAAAAATTACTATTACTTGTGGAATAAGAGCCATTATGATACTCCCCTACCAGTAACTAAATTATGTTACAAAGGTTGAGAAATAGTAAATGATTAGCATATCAATGTTAATCATTGTCAGAGAATTAAGCCACTGTCAGAATTTAAATGCAATCCATGAATCTGACATGTAAATGTATAGTTCTACCCATGCAAGAATGTTTTTGATCTGTGTCTGGATTTCATTCCGGTTCTGGAATTTGTTACGGTAAGATTTTGTCAACTGAGAAATCTCCTGGACTAAAACATAAGCTGGTTTGAAGCAATTCAAGGGATAGATTGACATGTTTTCCTTTTATGCTACTAGTAAAATATTTGTCTTTGTAATCAGTGGCAGGGAATTTTGTTAGTTATTAGAATTTTGTTTTTGTTAGTTAATCTTTAGTCATGAATGAATAAACGAAATTTGTGCCAACCTTTCATATTTTCTGCAGAAGAGTTGACCGCCAGACCTACTGTAGATTCAAGTTTTTCTCATTTTGGGAATTGTTTACCCAAACACATGAAGGCCGGCATTTGTCTAAAATGCATTTTGTTCCAAATTGAAAGCAATAGAAACAAAATTTGCCATTTGGATCATATCATTCACAAGATTGGCTTTGAGAGTGTGAATGAGAGTTATGTGAATCTAAATCCCTGAGTCTTGATTAATTTCTTGTATAAATAACAGCAGAGTTATTTATGCGAGAAATCATTTATGGAAATGGAAGGTGCGTTAGCATTAAATGCTTCTAATATCTGATTCATATCACTAATTTTATCTGCCATAGAATATAACTTTATTGCGTCTTCATCACTAACCAGTAATATATTTCTTATTAAGTCAGTTAGCTTCTGAAGCCATAAGGTTTTGATTAAATTCTCAGATACATTCATAGTAGCAACTGATCTTAATTTCTGCATGAATTGGCTTGTTTTCATGTTGCCAAGTTCAGTACCAGTAATCAAATGTTTAATGCATACATTTTCACTTTCCTTAAATAAATGTAATAATCCAGTTTTAGCATCCAAATTTGTGCCACTGTCATTTGTTACAATGTCCTAAATATTTTTTTATTAAAAGTTTCAAGTTGTGAAACTAAATAATTAAATTTCGTTTCTTTGGAAATATTACTGCTTTTGAACTGGGTTTCAAAAAAAAAAAGTATTTCTGGCTTATCAGTCTAAAAAGATTATCTTTTTATATTCACCTTATGAAATTCAGGTGCCTGCATCAATTCTTTTGCAGTAGTTTCAGAAGACTCATTTATTGTCATTTCAAAAGCAAAATTTGTTCATCGGTATATAGCCTTTGACTACTGTTATTCAAATTGAATTACAATTTAGCAAGAACAAGAATCACTACTGAAAAGCTAAATTTACTACTTTTATTTTTTAACTACAAAATGAGCTGCTATTTAGAATAAGAAAAATAATAAAATCAAAATTCAAAAACAAAGGTTTGCGAATAACTACTTGTTGCCATTCACCATAAAAGAAATATGAATATGAATATTAAAAAAATGTTAAACTAAATTTTGCAAAATAATTAAACATGTGCAAAAACATAAAATAATTGAATTAAGAATAGTTATTACCCATGCAATAACAGCCATCACAAGCTTTCTTATAACTTGGAAGACTAGAGACTAATTGTCTATTTATTCTAATAAGTTTAAAGGTAGCTTTACTTCACAAATTGAATGAATATCTTTCTCTTTATGTAGCATATGCTGTAAACAGTAAATTAAAGGATTATTTCAAAATATTGCTTTAATTTGTGTAAATATTTATGTTTAGGGTTTGTGTATGCCTGTGTTTTTTATTTGTATTGATCATTACAAATTCATTTTTTATTCTTCTTTTGCACATTATTTCTTTTATGTTTTAAGGAAATGATTTTCAATTACTTCTTTAGGATCAGTTTTCTAGAAGGTTTGTGATAATGACATCCATTTCTTTAGTTGTGTAAGGGAAGGGAAGGGGGAGAAAAAAGAAAGAAAAGAGCGTAGTAAAGTTGAAGAAAATCAAGGAAAACTATCTTGGAAAATAGCAAGCTATGAAAAAAGATGTGTTATTTTGTATATATTGCTGTTGAATTTAAATACCCAGTGAATTTTAACTTTTGCTGTATGAGCAGTTTAGTGTATTTCTATTATATGTTCTCAACTGCTATGATCTTGCATTTTTAGAACTGTATAGGTGATATCTGTTCTTGCATTAATCCTCCTGCGGCTGTGAGATAAGTAATTCTTTCTTCTCAAATATATATGACACCTGTTAGTTATAAATTTGTAATATGAGTTGTGTGTTTGCACCCATTGTGGTGCATAACTGGAGTGCGAGCTCAGCTCATTAATGATCATCAAAAAGGTTAAGCAAGATTTACAACTCTAGTTGGTGTCTTCATTTGTAAAAATGATTCAAGCTTTATTCATGTCACTTAATTATTTAGGAGAACTTTATGTAAAATTATATGCTTCAAAAACCATTAGACGAAAATATGTGCTGATTTAAAGCTTTGATATTATTAACAGATCTTTACCTAGTCTGTCAAATATTGGTTTTCATGTATGTGATGTTCAAGCTAGGAACAATCGCTGCATTTTAAAAAATGCCTTGTGTGAGAAAATACTGAAGCTTACTTACTTACTTACCACCTGTTATATAACTATCAGCATTTGTACTCAGTTGGTAGAGCATTATATTGTCGCTAAGCCTAGCCAAAAATTTCTATAGAATATTAAAATTTGTAATAGAATTTATAAAGTTACTTCAGAAGATAAGTATTTGTGACCTACATCTGATGGATTAGAGAGTAATTTATTTCATACTCTTCGGTTAACAGGGGGTCATTTAGTACCAAAGGCAAATATTGGTGCAAAATCTAACTAAAAGTATGATTGGCAACTCTAATCATAGGTATAGTTATGGAAATAATTACTATATTAATACAAAATAAATACAAAACATAAGAAAAAATACAGAATTTTATAAATAAGAGAGGATGTAATAGTTCAGTCAACAACTGCAGTGAAGAGAGTTCTGCCAGCGCAAGCTCTTGGTACCAGAAGTAAAGAAAAACATAAGCTATCAGAAAAGAAATATACAAACCTTTGACCCAGTAGCTTTTATATAAACATTTATTATGACAACATGATCTGTTGTTGCAGCACAATTCCAGTGCTCTACTAATAAAATACAGTTTCATTTTGTGGTTTTATGAGGGAATGCTTTTAGTTTAAATGATATTTTTTGTCATAAAATAATTTACTTTTGATTCCTTATCATTTGGCAATTGCTAAATTATGTTATACATATTAATTCTTAGGGAGCACACTTCTTAAAAAAAAAGCGACAAAAAGTATCAAAGGGATTTGTCCTATGTTCTACCTGCTTATTCATAATGATGTCATTACAAAGATGTACTTAGGAGATGATATAAATAAGTCACCACATTTTGTACATTGGTGAACAATAACTGCTGTTGTGTTTACTGAAAAGTATTTCGGATGTTTATTCAGTTGTAAAGCAAGTCAGAAAACAAGAATTTTTTCTGTCCACAAAATAGAGAGCTTTCTGAAGCCTAAATGTCAGGGATGTGACCAGAAAAAAGCCTGGATAAATTTTTAAAACTGAACCAAATTTTTGAAATGTAGATCTAAAAACTTTCAGAATAATGTGGACAAATTGCTTTTATCCTGCAGAACTTTAGTAGATTGCAATGTCTCTAAGCATTTCTTTCACTTTCATGTGTATTTTATCCTAAAAATTTCAAAGCTGGTGAAGATACGAAGAGGTTTCATCAATATATTACTCACAGGAAGGAGATAAAGTGGAAAATCGAATTTGTGTGTAGTTGCAGGGTTTTGTTATTATTATTATTATTATTATTTTATTTAAAGAAAAAGAAATCCTCGTGCACCGCAAAGTATCACATGAGACTTACAAATCGTAAGTAAAAAAGGCAAAATTGTAGATAATAACATCAGTTTTCAATAATACAATGAAACCATACACAAAGAAAAATAGTATATATTGCTTTTTTAATTCTGTAGCAGGTGGATGTATTTTTATCTCTTAATAAAACTAGGTCTTAACTATGTCTTAAATTAAACTATAAAGTTTATTTATAGTTTAATTTAAGTTTATTTTTAATATAAACTATATTAAAAATAAAACTAGGTCTTAAATTGGTAATATTATTCAAAATTACATCGAATATTATTTCTTTCAGGCTGCATATTGGTTGAAAAAGATCGAGTTACCTACTAAACCTCGTTTTAAGAGTTTGGACAAGAACTATCTAGAAAAAGCAAAGAATTCTTTGCAAACATTTTTGTCAGTAAGTCACATTTAACTTAATTTACCTTTGACAGAAAGTTAACTTTTTTATGTGACTTTTCAATTATTTCAGATGATAAAAATTGTAAAGTGGAGTCAATACAGATGTAAACATGTAATATTTTGAGATAACTGAAAATGTTTGGTATGTCTTACTAGATAGTCTTGATTACTCTGCCAGATATTATTAGAAGATTCATTCAAAATTTGCTGCAGATTTTGTAAAAACATTCAATATTTCTTCCAATTTGTTAATTTGCTTATAATTAATAATTTATTATATAAATATATATTTGTTATATGATTTTGCTTATAATAAAAGTAAAAAGCATCACATAGCATATTTCTTCAGATACTTCACTCATTTTCAAATCAATATAACTTTTTACACGAGCAATGAATTAGAAAACTATGGTTCACAAACAATGGAAGCTGAATGTCACCTTTTAAGCACATGTTTGTTTAAGACAATCGAATGAGTGTTGCTGGATAAATAGGCATCAACACCATCTAGTGGCAAAAAAACGCGGAGACTTTTTTTATGACCCAATCTATACTTGTTTATGCTGTAGCATTGAAATCCAACCCAGAATTTGTCAGGAAAATTTTTAATCGAATTATAATATGCAACAACAAAGAATGGAGACAATTTTAAGAACAAAAACAGAGAAGTCAAGGTCAAATGGCCAAATCATTATAATAGTCATATTGAATCATTTTTGCTTTTGTCAGGAGGATGGGAAAAAAAATTGAGTTTTTGTCCCAGCTAAATGGTAGCCAAATCAATGCTTCTGATACTATGCAATTTTTAACCATAAAATTGACATTGTGGAGTATCAATAAACTCCAAATATAAAGTTAAAAAAGACCAAATAATGAAAGAAAATGGCACAGCATGTATATGCAATAATAAATCGCATAAAGTGCAGATAAAAATGTAGCTATTCACCTTCATGTTACTGTACAAAAGAAGTGAAGAGAAAATAAAATTTATTGCTACTGTAGTCCAAGTTGAAAGCTAAGGGTAAAATCTGTAAATGGAGTCTTCCAAGTGAATACAGAGTTTAATTTTTTTATCGTTGGGTTGCTGTAGACAGGAGGGACAGGAGAAGTGATTATATGCAATCAGACAGAAGTTCTTAAATAAGGAGATGTGAGCAAATTTTTTTTAAGTTGAAATAAAAATGGTTTAATATTTAATTTTTTTTTTAATTTTCTATATATAGATTTTATGGTCACACTAAGTATATATCAACCTATATATACTTAGTGTGTCCATAAAATTATGAATTATACAGGCTGGTTGAAGAAGATGCCTAAGAGCTTAATATTGTGTATATATGATACAAGAATTATGTGGCAATTACATTTGCCATGTTATATAACTCATGGCAAATGTAATTGCCATGTAAATGCAAATGTAACTGCCATATTGATTGCGAATATGGATGGAATATGTGATAGTTTTAAAAGATAACACATTAAAGGATTTTATTGCCTTAAAAAGAACCTATTGGAAGTTTATAATTGAGCTGCATGGTGGTGGGGAGGGTTTTGTGAGGGATTCATTAGATCCATCAAAAAATGTTTTAAAAAAATTGTTGGCATTCGAAGAAATGTCTATATTACAAGGCTGAGTCGGTCCTTAGTTCATGACCTCTAAGCTACGACGTAAGGAAAATGACAGACCACAACCCTTAACTCCATTGCATTTCTTAAACATCAGACAAACTAATTCAACCTCCGACTTTTGCAAGAATTATCGGAATTGTAACAGTTGTGGTATATACGGAAGCAGCAATATTTATTAAACCTTATAAAAAATGGAACTATCCATTTTTTTGAAGGATCTCAAATTTCAACCAGAACTGAAACTAGGAGATGTTGTTTTAGTTGAAAAAGACAATGAAAACAAATTGTTATGTAAACATGGCAGAATTATAACAGCCATTCCTGGACATGATAGTAAAATCTGGTCATTTGAACTAAGAACTGGTAATGAGACTAAAATGTACTGCTCAACACCTCTGTTCTCTTGAATTCTGATTTCAGACAGACTTTGAGCTCAAATGAAGTCATTATATATTTCTTTTCCTTAATGATTAAATTGAATATCTAACTAAGGAATATTTTAACCATTTTATTAGTACAGTTGTAACATTTTATAAATTAATACATGTTATGTGTAACTTGTTTTTGTAATTGAAATTTTGATTGATTAAAATTTTTGTATGTTACAGAGAAGAGATTTATGGAGTTGTATAATTCAGTTAGATGAACTTTTGTCAGAGTTCTAGTGGGGAGTGTGTTGAGAAATATTTTTGATTTTGCTAAAAGGTGACATTCAAGTCTGATTTACTTAATTCCTCCTTGTCTGGCAGTTAATTATATAAAGCTGATGAGTAATTCAGTTTTCTTTGTTTTAGAATTTGAACTGCAGTGCACAATATAATTTAATGTTGGAAATATTCGATGGAACTATTTTGAGTTCTTGTTTTTTAAGCTCTGTAATTCAGTTTACGCTTTTAGCCTACCACATGTATATATTGGGTTGGCAACTAAGTAATTGCAGATTTTTTTTTTTAGAAAATCTAAGACAATTTTTTCATGGAACTAAATAACTTTATTCTGTAATGTATTCCCATTTTGATCAATGACCTTTTGCCATCTTTCAGGCAGCATCATAATCCCACGTTCATAAAACTTCTGTTTTTTATTAGCAAAAAACTGAATCAGGTACGATTTGACATCATCATCATTATTGAAATTTTTATCATTCAAGGAGTTTTGTAAAGATCGAAACAAAAAGTAATCAGATGGTGCAAGGTCAGGACTATATGGTGGATGTGGCAAAACATCCCAACCAAGCTCCAATAATTTGTGCTGAGTGACCAAAGATGTGTGTGGCCTTGCGTTGTCATGATGGAATACAACACCTTTTCGGTTTGTCAATTCGGGCCGCTTTTCTTCAACTGCATTGTTTAATTTCATTAGTTGTTCAATGTAGACATCAGAATTGATCGTTCGGTTGGGTGGTAAGAGTTCAAAGTAGACAATTCCTTTGTAATCCCACCAAACTGATAACAAAACCTTCTTTTGATGAATATCAGCTTTTGATGTTGTTTGAGTTGGTTCACCTGGCCTGCTCCACGATCTTTTCCACTTGATATTGTTGTAAACAAGCCATTTTTCATCGCCAGTTATCAGTCGTTTTAAAAATGGATCATTTTCATTACGTTTCTTTAGTTCTTTCTTTAGGGATCATTTTCATCGCAAATGGCTGCTGTTAATGCGTTGCGTTAAATGCGTTTTCCTTTCATGTTCGTGAGGAACCCATGTATCGAGTTTTTGAACATAGCCAAGTTGTTTTAAGTGATTTTCAATGCATGTATGTGATACATGAAGCTTCTCTGCAATCTCACGTGTTGTACTGTGGACAATCCAAATCGATTATTGCTTTGATTAGGTCGTCATCAACTTCAACTGGAGGACCAGAGCGTTTTTCAACTTTGAGTGAAAAATCACCAGAATCGAAATTTGGCAAACTAATTTTGACACTGCTGTTCTTTTAAGGCTTCGTCACCATAAACAGCACATAACTTTTTATGAGCTTGTGATGCTTTTTTCCCTTTGCAGAAATAAAAAGGCAAAATATGACGAAAATGTTCCTTTTGATTTTCCATTTTTCAACGAACGTCAAACGTAAACTACGCAACCAATCAAAAAACTTTTTTTACTGATTGACAGCTGAATTGCCAACTATCAAATAACAAAATGTGTTTTACATTTGTACTACGTCTGCAACTCTAAAAATTCAACTGAAGCCATCTATGAGTGAAATCCGCAATTACTTAGTTGCCAACCCAATACATATAAATAATTATTTAGGTTTTAGTTAAAGAGATGAAAAATTGTCTATGCCATACACCCTTATTCTTTGATTCTTATTTTGTTTTAATCTGATTGATTTCACAAGAGATAAATATAAATTCATAAAGTTCAATAGTATTTTGAATTTCCCAGATGTTTTGCCACAATATATTGTTTTATTTGTTCTGAATTTCTAGTTAAAATGCAACTTAAATGATACCAGTCATGTAATTATTTTTTTTAATTCCATACCTAGGCTGTGACAAAAGATGACGGCTTGAATAAAAGTGAAGCATTGTATGATTTTTTAAGTCCTAGTCCAGACTATATGAAACATCCACCTTGTCCACCAAAAAAGCCTTTCAAGTTTAATATTCTGCAATTTTTCAAAGGGTAAGCTTCTTTGATGTCTCTCTTATTTTTATATGATGCTTAAAGTATTCCCTATTTTAAAAATAATGCATAACTAATGAAATTGGATGTGCAGCTTGCTAATTGTATTGAAAGTGGAAATATTTAAAAATTAAAATAGTGTACCTTACCATATGTTTTTAATATATTAATAATAATTTGATGAATTTCAAACGATCAATAGTAAATTTCAGTATATGTATATTTTGCTGCAAATAATTTTCAGTAACATTTCATGAAAACATTCCTTTGTACATCTTCTAGTTTCATATTGAAGGTGTTAATCTTTATAATGAATTCCTCTTTTGGTTAATTCCATTTCAGCACTCCCCCCCCCCATTTATTGCCAGTACTTTCAATGATTCAATATTAAGTCATTTTTGCAAATTTTGCAAATATTGAATTAATTGTATTGAAAGTGGAAATATTTAAAAATTAAAATAGTGTACCTTACCATATGTTTTTAATATATTAATAATAATTTGATGAATTTCAAACAATCAATAGTAAATTTCAGTATATGTGTATTTTGCTGCAAATAATTTTCAGTAACATTTCATGAAAACATTCCTTTGTACATCTTCTGGTTTCATATTGAAGGTGTTAATCTTTATAATGAATTCCTTTTTTGGTTAATTCCATTTCAGCATTTCCCCCCCCCCCTCATTTATTGCCAGTACTTTCAATGATTCAATATTAAGTCATTTTTGCAAATTTTTGCAAATATTGAAAATGACAAAATACATTTTTGTTACCTTTGCCTGCCAAAATAACCATTTTATGGAATTAACATATAATGAATGTCTTCATAGTCAAGCTGTATCTAATTATTTCATAATGAAATTTAAAATTGCTTTCACCAATACAGTTTGTGATGATAATTATGTTTTGTGATATCAAAACACTTTTTACATATCTAAAGCAGCAGCCCAGTATCCAAAGCAAAAACTTGTGAGTTTATTTTTATTCCAAAGCAAGAAAAATTTAGCTTGCTCTTTGTTGTCTGAGATGCAATAATGTCTACTAAAGAAATTTTTAAAGGAATTTTTATTTAAATAAAATTTTGTGGATTACTGTTTTAGGCCATTAAAACATTTTGTATAATTAAAGTAGATTAAATACTTACGAATTCATGTATATATGTATATATATATATTAGTTAAGAACTGGTTGTAATTTTTTCCCCCAGAGTCCAGAATACTTTAAGTCAGTTGGATGATTCTGATGATGAAGAGTTACTTTTCCTTGATGATTCAGATAGGTAAGATTGTACTTTAAATCATTTTTCTATATAAGTGTCTTTGCTTGTTTAGTGTTGAGAATAATCACACATACTCTCTGGTTTATGATTTGATGTTATATGTATATTAACCGTAACTGTTTATATATTGCTTAGGTTTGTATTGGCAACACTCATAGTGTAATGCGATATGTAGAAGTGTGCTATGTCATGTGCATGATTAATTCCATCATTTAATAAAACTTCTACTTAATTATCATTGGCCTCTGATTCACCTTTTTAAATCTTAACAGCAGAGCGTAGTTCTGATATTGAACACGCTAGAGGTGAAGCATTTATATTTGTCTTGTGGAACTTATTTGTTTGGAACGGAATCGCACTTTAAGTGAAATTTGAAATGGCAGCACGTGATGAGAACACAAAGTATTGTGTTGAGCCGTTTAACAGTAAAAACTTTTCTCTGTTTCAGCACCGTGTTAAAGCTGTGTTTGCAGCCAAAGAACTTGATAAATATTTAGACGTTGAAGCGGATGAAACGAAAGTTGCTGAAATCAAAGATGCAAAAAATGGCTTACGCATTGCTGCTAACCCTTCTAGATGATGCCATATTGGCGACCATGTCGAGTGAATCTTCTGCATGTGAAATTTGGAGCAGTTTAAAGAATAAATACCATAAGGTGAGTGCAGTTAGTCAAATATTAGTACGAAAGAAATTATCGACACTGAAGAAACGCCGAGATTGCAGTATGCAGTCACATATTAACGAACTGTTGGCTATCGTAAATGAACTGCGGCTCTCGGGTGCTGAAGTCAAAGATATGGATGTGATTATTTATTTGTTGATGTCGCTACCTTGCTGAGTACGACATTATTAAATCGACGATTGAGAACCAGCCAAATGAAATGCTTACGCTGGACTTTGTTATGCAAAGGCTCTTGAATGCTGAAGAATTGCAAGGTGAGAGAAATTCTTACGATTCTCGTATTTCTGGCTCAAGTAATAACGTAGCTTTTAGCGCTGATAAGCGTGATATCATCTGCCACAAATGTAAAAGTAAAGGTCATATTGCCAAGCTTTGCAAGAAAAAATTAGTTTGTTTTGGATGTGGACGCCCAGGGCATTACAAGAAGGATTGCAGATTTAAGCATAAATCAGATTATAGAGAATCGGCTGCAGTAACATTCATGGTTTGCGAGCCTGTTGGAAATTTCATTCTGGATTCTGGAGCATCTACACACATGTGTAATAAAGGTGAGTGGTTTGAAGAAATTAAACCTTTTTCTGGAACTGTTGCATGTGCTTCGAAAAATGATGTTTTAAAGGTAGAAGGTATTGATACAGTACCTGGAACATTAAATGGAAGAGAAATATTACTTAAAGATGTGTTATATGTGCCTGAGTTGAACGGTCAATTAATATCTGTGAAGAATATTCAAAAAGCAGGTTACAGTGTAATTTTTAAGAATGATGTAGCTGTTATTGAAAAGAGGAATGAAAAATTTGAGTTTGCTAAATGAGAAAGGACAGTATGTGAGTCAATTTGAACCTGTTAAAGCTTCAACATACATTGCAAATCATAGTGCAGAATTATGGCACAGGCGCATGGGGCACTCATCTGATAAAATATTAAAAGAAATGGGTTTGCCAGTATCTGAGTCACCATCAAGTTTTTGTGAAGAGTGCGTACTAGCAAAACATTCCAACACTCCTATGAACAAAGGCCCTAGAAGCAGAGAGCATGTGCCAATGAGAATGATACTCACTGACATATGTGTGGTCCCATTGATCCACCCACTAGGGAAGGTGAAAAGTATTTTGCTACAATTATAGACAATTTTTCTAGATTTACTGAAGTGCATCTCTTAAAGCACAAGAGTGACATAAATGAAGTGTTTAAATTGTTCCTAAAGCAAAATCCTAATCACTACAAAATCCGATGTGATAATGCCAAGGAATACGTGTCTGGTGAACTAGCTCATTATTGCAAAAAAAATGGTGTTATGATAGATCCTGCTCCTCCATATTCACCTCCTTTGAATGGTGTGGCTGAGAGAGCCAACAGATATCTTTTAGAGAAGGCCCGAGCTCTAATATGTGAAGCAAAGCTTTCTAAATCCTTTTGGGGTTATGCTGTACAGACAGCTGCATATCTTAAGAATAGAATTCCAAATCAGACTGTTGAAAATCTGTACCTTATGAGCTCAAATATGGGAAGCCGCCTGATTTGAATATTATTAAGGTGTTTGGATCTGATGCATACATGAGAACCCGAGAGAACCGAGGAGAGTTCCTGATAACTTAAGAAAGAAATTGGATCCAAAATCAAAAAAAAACGTGATTTTTATTGGATACTCTACCATGGGTTTATCGTTTACTGGACCCAGTCACAAATCATGTTGTGGTTTCTCGAAATGTATTGTTCAATGAAGAGAAAAAGAAATGTATCTCAGTTCAAGATGATTTTTCCATAGAAAGTAAAGATCCTGCTAAGATGAAGTAATATGTGATTCAAGTGATGTAAATGTAGATGAAGTAATATGTGATTCAAGTGATGTAGTAAAAATTGTTAAATAGATTTAAAATGTTAGATTGTAAGCCATCTGATACTCTCCTAGTGCCTAAGTCAAGCTTCATCAAATTTTGTTGAATGGTGAAAGATTTCATAGCCCTTATCGTGGAACTTGTAGGTACTTTGCCTATCTATGACAACTCGTCCTGATATTTTGTATTCTGTGAACTGTCTGAGTCAGATACAAGAGCAACCCACTAACAGTGCTTGGGCTGGTCTGAAGCAAATTCTTCAATATTTAAAAGGGACATCTGAACTCAGATTATTATTTTGTAAATCTAATAGTGTTGATTTTATGTTAAATGTTTATGTTGATGCTGGTTGGGGGTCAGATACATGTGATATAAAATATATTTCTGGGTATATTATTTTCTTTAATGGTTATCCTCTAACTTGCTCTGTTAAGAAGCAAACGTCTATTGCTCTGTCCTCTACTGAGGCAGAAATTTTGGTTTTAGCAAAAGCTATTCAGGACCTAACTGTATTTTATAATGTATGTAAAGAAATTTTAGGAGTCGACAACATTAAAGTTTCAGTTTATGAGGATAGTCAGTCTGTAATTAAAGCAATATTAAATGAAAGTAATTGTGCTAAACTAAAACTAAAACATTTGGAACTTAAACTAAAACATTTGGATATTAAAGTATATTAGGGATGTAGTAAAATTGTATGATATAAATCTTGTATATGTTTCTAGTGAAAATCAATTAGCTGATTTGTTTACAAAATGCTTGCCTAAACCAAGATTATGTTATTTAAGAGATAAATTTAAAATAATATGTGATTAAGGGAGGGTGTTGAAAATAATCACACTTACTCCCTGGTTTATGATTTGATGTTATATGTATATTAACCGTAACTGTTTATATTTTGCTTAGGTTGTATTGGCAACACTTGTAGTGTAGTTTGGTGTGATATGTAGAAGTGTGCTATGCCATGTGCATGATTAATTCCATCATTTAGTAAAGCCTCTACTTAATTATCATCGGCCTCTGATTCACCTTTTTAAATCTTAACATTTAGTTTTTTTTTTTTTTCCTCCACCTTTGCGAAGTCTCTCTTAACCTGCTGTTTAATACTTTTATGACTGTTTTGAGTGAAGAGAAATTTACAGAATGAAAATATTCTACCAAATTTGAATGCTAAGAAAAATTTACGTAGAATAAATAAAAAATTAAGCATTTTACATTAAAAATAATTTTCTTTGCTATGTAATTATATATTTTTCAGAAATAAGTTATAGGCCCATTTTCAAATTTTCCTTACATATGCTGTGCTAGAAGAAAAGAAAGAAAATTCAAGATAAGTTATGTTTAAAGTTTAATTTGAGCAATGCATTGCATAAAGATGACTATAAATATATTTCTACAATTCAAAATATAAAAAAATCAATTGAAATTTTTTAGATATAAATCTTAAAATGTGTGATCGTAGGCGAAAATGCCTGTCTCTTTCAAGTTTCATGTTATTCAATGTCTTTGTTTTGTAACCTAATTTATTTTTTAAATATAGAAGTTTAATTATTTTAAATATGAACTATTAATGTGTTATATTCACAATAAAATTATTTTCAGAGGTGTTTTTTTTTTTTTTTTTTTTTTTTTTTTTTTTTTTTTTTTTCCTTTAACAAATCAATAGAAAATAATTTGTCTTTTACTTCTTGTCAAGTCCGTCATCTTGAGATTATTTTACCCAAAATTAGTTTATAAATCTGTCTAAAAAAGGCAGTACATATTCAGTGACATAGATAAACTAGTCAAGTTAAGTTTGACTACTTTGAATATGTACTGTCCCCCCTTTAGGCAGATTTACAAACTAATTGGGGATAAAATAATCTCAAGGTAATGAGGTAACGGACTTGACATGAAGTGGAAGACAAATTATTCTTATTGATTTGCTAAATTTTTATCTAAAAATTTTCAGTAGATTTTTTTTAATATTTTAAATTGTTATATAGTATAGTAATTTGTTATATATTGTTATAAATTCATAGTATCATAAAATTCATTTTATGTAATGCATTGCTGAAATTAAACTTTAAATATTAATTTATCTTGAATATTCTTTCTTTTCTTCTGGGACAGCATATGTAAGCAAAATTTGAAAATCGTCCAATAACACAATGTCATGTAGTAAGTCATTGGTAAGATCAAAGGCATTATGTGAGACATTTTACCATAAACCCTGTGTTTAGTGAGGGTAAATAAACTTAACTCTACAGATGGTACTCAAATTAAAATGACGTAGACAGTAATTGTCACCAGCTTGATTTAACAAATTATTTCATCTTCATCAATTGCCTTTTAAGTAGAAGAGAATATAAGAAATTTTCTCTCTCCTCACTACATGCTTCCACGTGTAAATTGGAAAGCATGTCTGGCTACAGTTGGGTAATCCAGAGATCAAATCCTGATGAGGTCATATGTCCTTCCTTCTCCTAAGTAAACCTAATGAATCTGCAATTGTAATGTTCTTGTACAGCAGCAGAATAAATCATGGTGAAAAATCGTAATTCTGCGCATGTGTAGCGTTTACGCATGCATAGTGTTTACGCATGCGTATATGTGTTTACGCATGCTCATAATACCTTTACGCATGCACATAATACCTTTACGCATGCACATAATACCTTTATGCATGTGTGTTTAATGTATAATGGACAGTATAAGCTAGGCTAAAATTATCTATTTCAGTTAATGTTGCAGATTGCGTTGTTCCTTAATCTTCTAATTGGATTCGGCTTATTATTTTTGCAGACTGTTAGAGCAATTTTATAAGAAGTAAGCTTGAACTTTTCATTATGTGAAAAAGAGTTTCCGATTCTGGAGCTGACAAAGGATCTACAAAGCGAAAGCACGTTTTGATGTCCTTCAAATAAAAAGTAGAATTGCTGTAAAAAATGGATAAAGGCATGAAGAAAGTGACAGAGAGGTTAGTCAAAACAAAAAAATTTCGATGGACAAGTTAGTCGGTATTCTCAGCACTTACAGGACTTGAACAGCGGAACTTTGTAACTGAACAAATTATGTCTGTTCATAGAATTATAGAGAAAGTATTAGCACATAAAACGAAGCAACTTAAACAACTTACATTGAAAGAAATGTTTAATAAAATAAAAAAATAAATATTAAGCCCTTTTTTTTTTTTTTTTTTTTTTTTTGTAAATTTTGATACCCTTTAGATCATAATTGCTCTTTATTTCATAAATTACAGTTTCATATTTTTAATTTTATAGTTTCTGCCTGCCATCTTACCAGATTTAAATTGATTATCTATAATCCGAAAAAACCCCTAATACGGAAGCGCCGAAGTCCCGACGAGTTCGGAATAAAGACTTTGTACTGTATAAAATTACAAAGTTACTGTACCTGCAATCCAAATGTTGAAAAATTAGCCTAGTGCAATCCGAAAAAATAATGCAAACAGTCGTCTCCGGTTTCGGCACCATGAAAAAAATAATAATATCACTGCAAAATTAAACGAGATTCTTGAATAAACATGTCTCTTTTTTTTTTTTTTTTTTTTTTTTTTTTTTATTCACATCACACACAAGAGCATATTAGACTGAAAAATCCAAGCGTAATTAATCTGAGAAACAGGAAATAAAAAGCTAGCCTAGTAAGCCAAAAAATTATAAAGATTTGTTTACATTAACATTTACTGCAAGGACTTTCAGACGACTGTAAATCACGTCGTCTGATAACATGATCATTTTATTTTTAAAAATTTACTTAAGGATGGAAGGAAGAAAGGGTATAAGCATATAATAAAAAATTTATAAATAAGAAAATATAATTCATAATTTTGATTATATAACTATAAAGCAAAACTAGAAAACAATTGCTATTACTGTTCAGTTGTGATGGACTGACATTAAACACCCAAGAAACAATCCTGAAAGTCTGCTGATTGAACCACATGACACTGAATTTAAAAATAAGAATGTACAGAATTGTGTTTAATTATCATGACACGTTTCATGTAATCTAAGAATAAGTAGCAATATATTTAAATGCAACTGGTGTTTTTCAAACTCAAATTGGAAGAGAGATAAACCAATATAAAATTTAAACTTGGGGAAAACAGCAACCTTAGTTTGGTGTAGATTTTGAATAAAACTCTTATCTCATTCAACGGCAATCAGACACGTGTCCCTCTTCTTCAAGAGAAAATGGGGGGATGGGAAGAGGAAAGTGAAAATAGGCATCTGGATTTTAAATGTCATCAAGAATAGTGACAAATCGCCAACAACAGTCTTAATGTAAACTACTTAAATTAGAAAAATGAAACACATGTTATTTTTTCAGACAAAGGATGTAAACATTCGATAGTACACAGAAAAGATAAGAGCAAATTACTTTTTAATTAATTTTAAGATATATGCTGCAATTCCGTTAAATGATTGCTGATTTGCATGATGTAATTTCAATAAATTTTGTTATTTTCGCCATTATTTATGATTCTTATGTTTGAAAGGCTGATCTTTAGAATATGGTAACTGGTAGTTTGGCGACATTTTGGAGACGATAAAGGTTACTACCTGGGACTTTGGTAATAATGTGAGCAGTACTCAGTTCCGATTACGCATTATTTTGTGTGAGAGAAATGAGAGATCATGGGATATGTCATGTGATATTAATGGACGAATTACGGTTCTTTAATCGGAAAAGGGGGGAAATCGGGAAAAAATCTGGAAATTTTGTATTTGGCTTTATTCTGTGTTGTGTGAAACAGTGTTCGTTAATTTTTGGATCCCATGGCCCTAACTAAAGTGAATTCGAAATGGGTATTTAGTGGAATTGAAAGGGGTAGTAATAAGTGTTTCTTTAAGGTTGTGCGAGATAGAAGTAAAGATGTTTTATTAAGTTATTTATTTTACCTGGTACCTTGCTGTGAACTATAAGTATGATTTTAAAGATCCTGAAACAGAAATAAGAAAAGTTTATCGACACGTAATCAAGATTCTGAAGAAGATTAGGTAGGTTAGTATTTTTAATTATTTGAGGATATTATTTTTATGCATTGTTCTAAATGTAAGGTGGAAGTAAAGTAATTTGGTATTATTGGGAAAATTGTTATATGTGGATAAATTTCTATGATAGCAGACATTAAAATTTATCATCTTTGTTTATTTTTAAGGTAAATTTCAAGTCATTTTATGAAATCTTTGATTAATACTCATTTTAGAAATATTGTGCCACTTACTGCAACTACTTAATGAAAAATTACTTTTCTTTAATAATAAAAATACAGTCTTGCATATTTTTGTTCTAAAGAATGATTAATTTACTAAACAATTTAAAGTTTTTTTTTTTTTAATGTATGGGGGTTGTTTTTTTGTTTCTAACAAATACAGTAAAGAATGATTTTAATTGATGTAAGTCATTGTATCTTTTACATTGTTACATGTTTATACTGTGGTGGCATACTGGAGTGTTAAAAAACTTGCATGTATAAATGTATCATTTGTTTAGCTGTTTGGAGAAAATTTTCAAAAATACGTCAAATTGACAGAAATAATTTTTCATATCCAGTCAGCTGCTCAGTTTGAAATTGAAATCCAGAACTTTTTAAATTTCTCATACTTTTTAACCATATACATAAAAATTTTCTTTTTAGTCCAGTTAATTTCATTTTCAGTTTTTTCTGGCAATTCATAATGTTCATAATGTTTCTGGCAATTCATGTGCTGGCCCCCACCAGCAAATGCTTAAAATTGCTGAATATTGCTAGTTCAACCTGGGTTCAATCCCGGACAAACGTCTTGGCTGCATGGTTGGTTTTTGTGGGTTTTCTCATCTGTAATGTGAATTATATAAGTCATTTTCTGTTAGAAAGTCCTCCACAAAAGCATTACTTTCCCTAGGCAGATAGCTTTCATGTGCTTTGCCATATTCAGCTACCTAAAGAGCTACTTTTTAAAATTTTCCTTATCTTGTTTTCATGGAGTAATTTTTTGCTATCCACATTTATGACTTTTAATATATGTTTTCAAAAATAAGATTGATTCCTGTTTGGGAAAATTTAGCAGCTTTACAATATATCTTTTGGCAAGAATAGAACTTTTCTGCCTATTGGTAATTTTGTTTCAAATACTGTTGAGAGTTAGTAAAGACAATTTTTTTACTATTAATTACGAATCATTCATCTGGGGGCTATAAATCTAAAATGCAGTGATTTCAGCTTGAATATTTCTTAATCTCATGTTGTAAGGAATAATTCCTTTTTCTTGTGAGTACTCATAATGTAAGTGTTTAGCACATCCAACTAGAAATTCGAAGAAATAGTTCAAATCCTGTTGAGGCAATTGATATGTTCCCCACCTCCAGAATACATATTAGTTTATATAATATAACTTTTGTATTATTGATGATGCACCATCATGACATAATACAAAATCTTGCTGGAAATTAATAAAATTTATTACTTGATATTTGTGTGCATTTCCTAGTTATAATTTATCGGTTGAATTGTACATATAATTTATTTATTTCTTTCATTTTTCAGTAAAGAAGATAAAAAGGACTCTATTGCAGAACCACTATATGTATTGATTGGTGAAATATTTGAACTTAAAGGTGTATTTAACTGGCTGAGAAGAACTTTAATTATATTTGTTCAAATTACGTATGGACAAACAATAAACAGGTGATTTTGTCTTTGAATAGATACTGAATGTTGTATTTACCTGTTTATTGCCATAAATAGAATTAATTGTGGATTGTGTTAATCTCTTATTATGCATACCTTAGCTTTAGCTGGAATAACATTTTGTTACCAAACTGTTTTGTATGATGCCATTTAACTTACAAATTATACCTCTTTAATCCAGTGTTCTCTAATCATAAAACTCCTATTATTAGCTAACATATTTTCTTAGTGTCCAACCACTAATTTCTGGAATTGCCACTAGGCTGGTGCAATTAGTTACATTTTCTTAGTGTTCAACCATTAATTTCTGGAATTGCCACTAGGCTGATGCAATTAGTTACATTCATAATTTCAAGTTTGTTTTTTCTGAGGGGTGACTTTAGATTTTATAATCCCAGAATTACAAACTCTCCCGATTTGGGCAAGAGACTCCCGATCTCTGCCTGTTCTCCTGCCAACCTGATTTTGAACAGATTTCCCCCAACTTTTTCTTGTTCTTCAAATTTTTCACGATTTTGATGTATCTTGGATTTATATTTCATTATTTGCACCAAAACAAAAGTTATTCTGGGCATCACTTGGTTTTTCTCTAGATTACATCTAAAAGAAAACTGATGGCGCACTTCTGAGTGAGACCATATGTGTTCGAAAGCATTCTGTTCCAGTTCTCCAATCACCATTGAGAACCACTGTGTGTCATCTGGCATAATTAGCCAATGAGCACAAACCAAGATCAGGCTGTTATTTCGTTCATCTAGTCGCCGACTGGTGTGAGTGTATGAGCTTTCAAGAAATAGTTTAAGAAATTATGATCTATTGTTTTAGTTATGTCTGCAAAAAGTTAAAATACTCATGTAATTTTCAAAAATGGTACACAGATGACTTTCCTTCTGTTAATTCCTCAAGGAAATGGAATATATTTCCGATGTGTACTGTTTGTCATTGCAAGTTTTTGATTTCGCATGGTGGAAGGGCTGATGTTCTCAAACGTGCTTGCAAAAAAAAAAAAAAAAAAAAAAAAAAAAAAAAAAAAAAAAAAAAAAAAACACAAGGATAACATGAATTCTATTGAAAAAAATAATTAAATTTTACTGTGGAAACGAAGGATCAAAAAGCTATTAATGTAGAATGCCTGTTCTCTGCCTTTTACTGGAGCACAAGCTGCCACTGAATGCATCAGATCATGCTGCAGCTTTATTTAGAAAAGTGTTTACAGATAGCAAAATTGCTAAGAAATACTCAAGGACCAAAATGGCTGCAGTTGTTAAAGACTTGGGTATGAAAAATAAATCTTCAGTTATTGACTGCATTAAGACAGTTCCATTCTGTCTCTCTACGGATGGGAGCAATAATACCAATTCAAAACTGTATCCATTTGTTGTTTCTTTTTTTTAATCCAGTATCTTCAGAAATTGAGTGTAGTTTACTTTCTGTTCCCACATAGGCTTTAATATAGCACAGCTAATTATTAAAACTTTAGAAGAAAATACAATTCTTCTGGATAATTGTTTAGCACTTGGTGCTGATAATGCACCAATAATGGTAGGTTTGAAGACTGGTGTTGCAGGCATCTTGAAAAAGGAAGCTTCAATTTGCAAATTATAGATGCATCTGTCTCCTCTTAAATTTAGCAGCTAAAAAAAGAGCAACTTTTTTACCAGTAAGTGTGGGCAAACACATTGTTGATTTTTATTATTATCTTGAAAGGTGTCCTAAAAAGAAGGAAAAAATTAAAACAATTCCAGCAGCTGCATAATACTGAAATAAGAAAAATTTTGAAACATGTATCTATGTACATGCTGGCTATTTTTAAAGAAATGTTTATTTAGAATCCTTAATCAGTGGAACCTACTTCTTGCATTTTTTAAAGAAGTAAATGCTTCTAGAGTACAAATAAAAAGCTCTATTGAAAAGTTATACCTAAAATAATTGGAGGTGTAGTTACTACTTCAACTGTTAAAAATAGGTTTGAGTAAGAATAGGTAAGTAATGTCTGAACTAGTGAAGAATTTAATTGGCAATTTTCAAAATAATACTATTAAATATAAACGTAAAGCTGATACAGATTTTTCTCAACATTTAAAAAAAAAAAAAAAATTGCTCAACAAGGGAAACATTTTCCAATTACTGTACGTTATCTTACGAAGACGAATATTTATATTTTTGTCCTCATACCTTAACAAAGCTTTCTGCTCTTTTGTACGGTTGCCTTTTTTTTATCATTTGATGTTCTTAATGCAATCCTACAAAGCAGAATTCCATTGATTCATGTTTTGTAATCAATGATTTGTGATCTATTAAAAGACATTTTATCAAAGTTTGTAAAACCAGTCATTGTTTTGTCTTCTAATTCTATATATGATGTAATCTATGGTGAAATCAAAAGTTAGAAGAAAGATAAAGATTTGGTCATAAGGGTTGCAACAAAAAAAGTTGTGGAAGTTTTTTCAGAGGAAGACAAAATTACATTTTATATACATGTTAGAAGCTACTTCTGCTGAGTATGTGATAATATACTACATAAATTTCCAGTCAATGATCAAGTGATTTTGCATGCTAAAGTTGTTGATGTTTCTGCTTTAGCAAATGCATCTTTTTCTGATATAAGATTTTTTTAATAGATTTCCAGTTTTACTTCATTTAATCATGAAAGGTGATATTGATGCTGTAACTGATATATTGCAGTCACAGTTTTGCAGTTTACGATTAGAAAACTTGGATAAAAGTATAAAACCAGCTAGATATGACACACTGTGGAGTTTAGTTAGAAAACTAAATGGTGCTGATGGAATTTTAAAGTATAGTGAACTGTCTAGAATAATGTTGGCCATTCTGACAATTCCCCATAGTAATGCAAAATGTGAAAGGATTTTCAGTGTTGCTGTGAAAACAAGGACTAAATTTAGATCTACATTAGTAATGATACATTAGAAAAACTTTTATTAGCAAAAGCAGGCCTACGTGGCAATTGCTATGAACAAAATTATGAAGTTTCTATTTTAATGAAAGCAAAATCTGCCACCGTTAATAGTATTTGTACGAAAACTATGTATTTTTACAAGCAAGTATTTTTTTACTGTTTGCATTTAAGAATTAGTAACTGAACTTCGTTGTTGAGAAAAATCTAATTTTTTAGTGTTGTAGGTTGGCAAGTATGTAATCCTCTTAGTTTCATATATTCAGCTGTGTCATAGTCCTTTAAGAAATCAGCCAAGAACTTAAGAAGGTAATGAAAATGATAAAGTATTATGAACTGTAAGCAAAAGACATTATTTATGCTTGAAAAGGGAAGTTACTGGAAAAGTTAGATGCTAAAAATGAAACCCATAAGAGTTCAGAATTGCTGAAAGCTTGCATAGGTGGGGAGTGAGGTGGTAACCCTAGAAGTCAGGTTTCCCAGTAGATAGGGGGTTCTGTTATGAGTCGATTTATGTGATTCAGCAGTGAATAAGTTCCAAAATGGATATTCCTAAGAGATATAGCATGTAATTAATATATATGTGTGTGTGTAAAATATAAAAAAATAGGACGGCTTTGCTTTATGCGAACAAGCAACCTTTAATTAACTTTCTACAATTCAGGATCTTCCCTCTAGACCAGTACTTTCGAGAACATATCAGCCTATTACATAACTGCTTCTATAAATAACGAAGTCACGCCATTTTGGAGCAGATTGCTTTTCTCCTCCTGCTCTACCACACTTCGCTGCTGCTTAACCAATCTTTCCTTTGCTAAAATAGTTATGATGCAGAAAGTCTAAATTTAATCGTACTTAGTTTAAATCACTATTGGAGAATTTCATCTAAAGTAAAAATGATCTGCAGTAAAAATTGAAATAAAGGTATGGAATAGTAAAAAGTGAAATCTTTTTGTGTCATCATTTCTGCTGTATTCCACTCGGGCAAACAATGCCCAGACTCTGGCGGCAAGCTTCGTCACTTATGTGCCCGACTGCCAAAATATCATATATATATATATATATAATTTATTTCCTAAACAGTATTGATTAATTGATTATATTATCTCCTAAGTTTAATTAAAGTAGAATTATTTTAAAAGTGTGCATCCATACTGGTAAGTTAAGTTTTAATTTGAAAGCAAAATGTTAATAATGTTTTAAACGGGGACTGGAGTTAAATCATCACGAAGAATAATATTACAATTGTAAAAGGAAAATTAAAACATGTAATCATTGTCATTGATCGGAAATTATTGACTTTTCAAGGGGAACAAACCAACTCCCGTTCAACGAACAATAATTGATAAAATACGTAAATACGAAAGTGTTTCGTCTTTACTCGAGTTATAAGTTAAAGCCAAACCGGCAATTCTAGTCAGGCCAAATATTTCCGCGAATAGTTCCAAAGCTTATACTCAAAGAACTTATTCTCATGAAGCATTTTAGTCAATTCAATTTGGAGTAAAAAAAATTACTGTAGAGAAATCCTGTAAAACTCGAGTAATCGTCCCCGACACTTCATCTTTATGCATTTGAGTTACTATATTATTTGTAGAAATTAAACATTGGAAATTGTCATTATGCAATCGAAATCAAAGTAAAGTTGAAATAAACATAGAAGATTATAAAAAAGATAAATAATGCAAACTTTGTAAAAACAATTCTGTGTTACATAACAACATGAAATTAACCAGTCATAACTTAGAGTACTTTCTGCATGATACTTGGTATAAATATTCTTGGCACAACAACTATGACGTTCCTTTCCCTAGTTTCCATCCTGCAAAGAACTCTACACTGCTGATGCTGTTCTAAAATGCTTTTGTTGTACCTCTAAAACCAATGTACATAGAATGTATCATATTTCATTATCACTGGATAAATTTCTATTAAGATGGTTTTTATATGCGGGGAAAATAAAGATTGGGACTTCTTCAAAATTCATTTTTGTGAGCATCATCTTTTCATCTTTCAGCCATCTAAGACTGCAAGCTGTTAAAGTATCCGATTCCTCCTATGCATTAAATTATCACACACATATATCCTTTTTATGTCCATTTCATTCATTGTGTGTTTTCCTCATATCTTAATCCTTAGTTGTACCTATTTAAAAAAGTCTGAAAATTAGCAGTGCTTAGATGCATACTTGCATTTGTATATTTACAGGTACCTTAACCTTGAATATATTTTGAAATGATGACTATTATTATTAATTAATCCTCTTATCTAAAGGTTTATTAAATTAGAGATTTTTCACATGTTAAATGAGATTGGTTACTCAGGAAAAGGCTTCCAAACTATGCATTTAATGTGGCTTATTCTCCAGAAATGTTTTTAAAATGTCTTTTCAACAAAAATATGACAAATTAATCCATCTTATGAAACTTATAGATTTGAATTTGTAATTAGTCAATTGATATTGAATCAAAATTTTGAAGGACATTTTTATGTGCACATGTTCATATTATACTGCCTGAAACATATTCTATATTAGAAATGAGGCGGATTTCAGTTTAATGGAAGGCATTGGAATCGGACTGTCTTAGTTAAGCTAATATTCAAATAAAATAGTGCCATTTGAAACATTATGCAAAAGTAACTATTCATTTTTATTATGTAATGTTACAATTTATATATTTTATTCTATTAATTTGTTTGTTTTGCAGGCAATTGAGAGAAACAGTATCTTGGATTCTTTCTGAACCTATGTTACTATTTTATTTGCAACTGTTTCGTGATACGATGTGGCCTCCATCACCTGTGAAAGAAAATGAAAATGAGAATAAAGTGGAGAATAGGATTCTGGCAAAACAAATGTTTTTGAATAATACCCCAGGCAAGTTATTTTATACAGAGTTTTAACACATGTTGAATTTTTTGTGATTTAAAATGTTTATGTGCACATACATGAAGCTCATTTAAATATTTATTAATTACATTAAGTATTGGAACTGTGAGTTATTTTGAAGTTTCAAGTGCTTTTCCAATAATGTATGTGAAATATCAAAATAACTTGTAACTTCTGTAATTTTAGTTGCTTTCAGAATTTTTTATACATTGAGCTGATGAATATCCATTTAGAGGAAAAATTGTTTTTCTTACGAGTTTTATTTAATTTCTAAAGTTTCTCTTGCAGTTCTGTCTTTTTTAATCATGAAATAGAAAGAACACTGGTTTCTAAATTTTTAAGTCAAATAGTTCTAAAATGCCATTCTGAAAAATCCATTTTTAACAGTAATTCCCTGTAGTTTTTGTGAATTATGTACGATAGTAAGAAGCAAAAATTTATTTTCTCCATATTGTTCATGGCCACTCATTTTGAAATCAGCTTAACCTGAAACCATATAATTATGCAATCATAGAAATGTCCACCGGTAATTATTACTGATTCTGTCTTATATTATGGAATCACAGATCTGACAAATATTGTTACAGAAAATGGCAAGCATGCTGGCAAGATTTTTTCTGGGGGAAGCATGCTAACAGTGGTAGTCTTTGTATCCAAAAGTAGAGGGCCATTGAAGTTTGTGGTGCTGACAGAGAACTTTGGAGAATTAGCACATATAAATATTGAGTATTATTAATGACCTCTAAGTCAGTTAAGTATTATTAACAACCTCTTGTCCAGTTTCAGTGGTCTGGTACTAAAAGGGGTTAGGAATGTAATTACAGCTGCACAAAGGATTAATTATTTTTTTAACCAGTTAGAGATATTTGTAACAGTACAGGGTTTTATTTAAATTTGTTTGGTGATCGCATCATTCCTTATAAAGGAATTTACACGGAGCAGTCTAACTCTTGTAGATTCAGCATGTATTCCAATACTAAAGTTCAGTTTGGAAGAGGTGAGTAAACATACTTTTTCCATACTGAGCTTATTTTTACAATTGCGGACATACTTTTATGATATGGGAGATGAAGGGAAGAAAACTATGTTACACTGGTGCATCAAAATGGATTTGATTGCATCTAAATGTCCAAAATAGGGAGACAGCATATGAAAGAAAGAGAGATTTTCTAAAAAAATTTGATTTGTAAACCTGAAGTCTTGTTGTGATATTTCTGTCTGTGAATATTACTTGATCAATAAATAAGTGACATACTACAGGCACATAACACATTGTTTATTAAACCAATCCGCAAGGAATATGTTGCCACATATATTACTCCCTCTAGTCGTAGGATCACTGCATACATTTGACAATTGAACGATATAATAACTTGTTTGCTATTATTATGATTATCTAGTGAGGATCATTATGTATTTTTGGATGTTCACTACTTATATTTTCCTCATTTTCATTGCATAGATCGTAATAGTCTAATGTCACTAAATTCTGATTTCTAGTTTATCTTAAATGGAAGTTATTCCATCTAATTACCGTATTATCTTTTATTCTAATCCAATATGATCTAGGAGTTGAAGGCTTTTTTAAAACTATAGCGGGCTCCCGTTTATTTTCCCATCTCATCATTACCTTTTTCCCAGGAATAAATTCAGGCCTTTCCCTTTTCAAATCCCCAATCCCTTGCGAAACTCATTTTCCAACTATTAAATGGTACATTATCACAAATTAAAGTTTTGGGTATTCCGTGTGTTGCAAATATCGATTTCAATTTACCAGTAACTTCCACTGCATTTTTATTTTTTAGAGGAATTATGTCTACCTATTTAGTTAAGTAATAGTAATTTACCCATTTAGTAAGCCTATTACTAGGGAACTTTTCCTCGCATACCCACAGATATCAGTACCAACATTTTCATAAGGTAAACTGGGAATTTCATGATAAACAAGAGGTTCTTTTACTGTCTGAGGCCTGAACATATCACAAATTAGGCATTTAGAAATCATATTCCCAATGTCACTGTTGATTCCTGGCCAAAATAGTACTTGTCGAGCCCTAGCTTTTGATTTTTCAACCCCACAGTGAGCTTCATGCAATAATGTTAACATACACTTCCTTAGTGCAATTCGATTGTTAAAAAAAAAACTTAATCTTGTTCAACACTCAACTCATTTTTAAATTTAAAATAAGATCTTGCTTCTTTAGAAACTTTATCAACACTCAAAGGCCATCCCTTTTGGCAATATTCTTTCACTAACATTAACCCTTCATCTTCTAATGTAGCTTTCTGAAATTCCCTTTTCTTACTCTCAAACATTTGAAGTTGTTTTGTTAGTGTATGAACAATCTCTATCATATCCATGTTTTCATTTGTGTGTGTTTCAATAAAGGAACGTGAAGGAAGTAAATCTGCATTGTACATATATTTCCCAGGCAAATATTTAAGTTATATTTTAAGAGCTTAATTTTATCCTTTGCAGTCTATTTGACAACACATTAGCAATATTTTTGTTCATAATTGAAACTAATGGTTTATGATCAGTAAGCACTTCTACCTCTTTACCATAAATGTAATAGTGAAATTTATTAACAGCAAATAAAATACTAAGAAATTCTTTCTCAATCTGAGCATAGTTTTTTTCTGCATTATTCAAACTTCTAGAGGAAAAAGCCATTGGTTGCCCATTCTGCAATAAGCAGCAACCTAACCCATCTTTAGAACTATCTGCCTGTATAGTGATAGGTTTACTGCTATCAAATATTCCTAACACAGGTACGTTGGAATTTTTTTTTCTTTTTTTTAATTTCCTGGATGCTTTAGAAAATAGCTGCAACCACTACCATTCTGCTTTGTTTTTCAAAAGTTCCCTTAATATGGCTGATTTCTCTGAAAAATGTGGTACAGGTTTCCTCAAATAATTACATATTCCCAAAACACGCTGTAATTCATGCTTATTCTGAAGTTCCTGTAACTCAATAATGGTTTGAATTTGATCAGGATCAGGTCGCATGCCTGATACATTAAATAAATTACCTAAATATTTAACCTCATTAACCCTATATTGAAGTTTTTGCTTGTTGAATTTAATATTGAGTTTTTTAGGTACACAGGAAATACCCATTGGAAGCCTTAGGAATTTATAGCATCCAAATGGTGTGCTAAAAGTACAAAGATCACTGCTATCCCCATCTAACTCTATTTGAAAAAACCCATTCTTTAAATCCAAAACAGAGTAAACTGATTTATTACATAGCTTTGGTAAAATCTCCTGAATGGTTGGAATCAACACATGGTCTCTTTTTATAGCTTCGTTAAGATCTTGAGGATCAAGGCATATTCTTAAGGATCCATTAGCTTTTTCAATTATTACTAGATTGCTAACCCAGTTTAAAGGTTGATCTACTTTCTCAACCTAATCTTACTTTTAGTTGATTACTTTTTTTCTTTAAAGGTTGATCTCTATCTAATTTGTTTAATTTTAATTCAAGTTTAGGTTTTAAAATAAGTGGTACTCTACATTGTGGTCTCACTACAGGAGCTATCTGATTATCTACTATGATTTTACACAATCCATTAAATTTTCCCACACCTTCAAACACTTCTAAATTATTAATAATAAATTGATCTTTAGATGGAGGTAAAACAATTGTATACTGATCCAACTTACCTTTATTTGATATTCCAACCTTATTTATAAACTGAATCAAATTAAATTTAACACATGCTTTAAGTTTTAATAATGGATGTATATGCTTGCTAGAAAATTTTAAAAACTCTAAAGGATGGTTTTCACCATCTGAGGAACATTGTAACATTAATGACCCATCAGGTTTAATCTTGGACCCCCCTCCCCCCAAATGCTTCTAATACAACATTACACTTGTTTACAATAAGGTTAGAGTTCTTAGTACTTAGTGTTTCATAAATTTTCACAAGCAAAACATTCACTTCAGACCCTGTGTCCAACTTAAAGGTCAAACTTGTCCCTTCAACAATTATAGTTTTAGTCCACTCTTTTGTAGACAAGGTTGAGCATACACTTTTAGTTTTTTGGACATTTATGGAATTCACGAAGAATTCATCATCAGATTCACTATATACATCTGTGTTATGATGCTGAGAAACATTTTGGACATGTTTCAGTCTGCACATAGTCGAAAAGTGATCAAGTTTGCCACAATTAAAGCATTTTTTTCCATATGCTGGGCATTGTCCATTAACGTGATGTCTGTTACATTTTTTACATAAAAACGTCTCAATATTTGAAGCATCATCACGCCATCCTCTGTGCTTCCTCACTGCTATGGCTGCATTGGCTCCTCCTTCTTGTTGTTGCTTCACTTTCCCTCTAGTTACGCTGTCAACATTGTATTCTCTTAACATTTGAGCACGAGCTCAATTCAGCAGCTTTCCCTAAATCAATTGCTTTCTCCAAACTCAGATTACTTTCTCTAAGTATCCTCTCCTGTAAACTGGTATCTGATACTCCAAGGACAATGCAATCACGTACGACAGAGTCACTCTGCTCACCAAATTCGCAAGATTTTACCAGTTTTTTTCAGGTTAGTCACGAAACAATCAAAAAGTTCCCTTTCTTCTTGTTTTCTCTTATTGAATAAAAATCTCTCCACCACGACATTTGTTCTAGGCATTGTGAAAGCTTCAGACCTTTCAAGCACTTTTTCATGGTTGCCCTGATCTCCTGTTAAAAGTGTTAAACACTTCAACTGCTTCCTCACCAGCGGCATTTAAAAATAAAGCAACTTTCACATCCGAATCTTTTGAAGCATGTCGAGAAGCTTTCATATAAATCTGGAACAGCTGCTTGAATTTGTGCCAGTTTTCGGCCACATTGCCGTCGAAACTTAGGCCTTGCAGTGGGCGACAAAATTCCATCTTGTGTCTGCTGAGAGGAAAAACAACCAAAGGGATTGCCTGACAATTAGTTGTATCACTATTCCATCATACGACTATGCCATGTTATATTCATATTAATATTACTTGATCAATAAATAAGTGACATTACTACAGGATCACATAACACATTGTTTATTACAAACCGACATCAACTGGCAATTACTTCAGTTCAGTTCATCAAGCAACTAGTGTGTTGCCACATATATATAACACTGTCAGCTATCATCAAGCTGTATTAGTTGATAGATAAAGAGGTATTTAAAAATTGTAGTAAATTAAAAATCTTTATTTTTTTTAGCTTGCTGCTATTTAGCCTTCTCAATTGCCAAAGCATTGATATATGTTCAAAACTATTAATCTTGATATTTTTAAATACACAGACATGCATCTTGAAATGTGTCCAGATAATTAATGTAGCATATATATTAGAAGAAAGAGTCAAGCTATTGTGAAATTATAATCAAGAAAATACTTCTTAGTTATTGTCTTTTTGGAGACTTTAACTTCGAGACCAAAACCTTGTGCTCTTTGAGGGTTTAATGCCTGTTTTTATGTAGTTTGTCTGGGAGTTTTAACTCATGAAGACACTGTCCAGAAATAATTTTCTCATGCCAAGTGTAAAGCTCATTTTCATTTTTTAAAGCCATAACCACGTGTTTGTGATTCTCACATATATCATTATTAAAAACTTATAATAAATATATTTACCATCCTTATTTCAAAGAGGCAGAAAAAAGTTCATCAAAAATACATAGATGTTAGAGTGAAGAGTGGTCATGTTTACTTGATTCAAAATTTCACTGCCACCAAAACAAAACAAAAAAAAAAAAAAAATGTGTACACTGCGCAAAGAAAAAAAAAAGCCAGTTCTATATCTTCCATTCTACTGGGCCAATTAATGAAATTCAACTTGCGTTTTTGTCTCTCAAAAGCGCAACTTAGGATATGTATTAGATTTATTTATAACATTGTTCTAACACAAGTATTTTAACATACTTTTCTGAAATAATGTAATTTTTTTCCCATATTTTCATTCTAGAACTCAAATTACACCAAACTACCAAGTTTTGTAAAAATCGCACTACTAGTTCTTAAATAATTAGCTTTCATAATTTTAGCTCCTCAATGTTAATTGAGTTTGGTATATATTTATGAATATCTCCTTTTTATTAAACTTATTTGATTCTTCCTTTCATATTTCAAAATTCAGGTTCATTCCAAATAAAATTCACCCATTTTTTATGATTTATTTTTAAAAATTTATTTTTTAAATAATATTTAAAAATTTTTCAAAAAAATTTTTGCATTATAATCTGTAAAATTTTTACCATCAGCTTAAAGTAGACGTATTTTGTGTCAAAATACCTATGTTAGAACAATGCTATCTGTAAATCTAATATATATCCTAAGTCGCACTTTCGAGACATGAAAAATGCAATTCGAATTTTGTCAATCGGCCCAGTAGAACGAGAGATATAGAAGTGCCCCCCCCTTTTTTTTTCCCCATGCACAGTATACCAAAGTAGATCTGATCAGTGTACATCATTAATGCATGTATGGCCAAAGTATATTTCTTCACTATTGTTCAGATAGCTACTAAGAGTTCAAAAAATAGCATCAGAGTGGTAGCTCTAAATCAGAGAAATGTAATTATTTGTCTTTTATGTATTACTAGCAGCTTCACTGCCAGCCTTCATCTGGCTTTTAAATGTACCAGAAAAAATGGCTGAAGGGAACACCAAACATTAAATTTAATAACTGAGTAGAATTTTACTCTGCAGAACAACTTCATAAAAAAAGTTATTACGTATTATTACAAAATTAAAATGAAATAAGCAATATCCCTTAATACAAATATTAATTCTTCTAATAAATACATATTAATGTACATTAACCAACTTCCCTTTGCAAAATCTTAAGAACTCAAATGGTATAAAGGAGGTTAAGAACTTTGTTTCCTAAAAAAATCGCTCAAAACTTTTCAATATCTTAAAAACAGTGAAATGAGCAATAAATAACATAAAAGAATGCAAAAAACAAAAAATTCTGAAAAGCAAAGTATAATTAATGATATTTTATCTTATATTTTCAAGAGAAAAGCTATATCCCTTAATACAAATATTAATTATCCTAAAAAAATTAACCAACTTTCCGTTGAAGGAAAAATCATGCAAAACTGTTCACTATCCAACAAAATAACATGAAAGCTACTCGTCGCATTACTCTAGCAACTTTATAAAAATATATATAATATATATGACAATGAAATATGCCAATCTCTTAAACAGTACAGAAAAATGAAAATGTTGAAACCCATATTTCTAAAAGAATGAAACTATTCAAAATGATGCGATTTCATCAAAAATCTATCAACAACAATAAGACAGGAAAATTGTTTCCAAAATCACATTTTTAAAGATGTGAGATGTGTGAAGTGTACTCGGAAGCTTCATTTAAACATATTTTTAAAAGTACAAAATATTATCAGTTTTCCAAAATTACTTTTGTAAAAGCAGTCGCAAGGATGAAAGTTTAACGTGTCCAAAAATCAAAGAAAAATAAACTGTACATTTTTAAAAATAAACTTTTTTAGAAAATATCCCTTTGAAAATGTGTTAAGCTCCATTTGTTAAATAAAATCGTATTTAATCGATTTATTGAAACAAGAAATATATTTTAAAATCGTAAAATATCTAAGTGCTTACGTTTCATGACGATTTGAAAATGGAGTGTGTAGAGTAAAATCTCGCTTTCCTATAGGCCATTATGTCTCAAAACGACGCGATTTCGTCACAAAACATAAAATTAAAAAAAAATTCGAATTAGAATTTCGAAACAATCGCTTCGAGGTGCACTGGCCCTTGTCTAGATACACCTATGTAGCAAATTTTGTAGCCGTGTGTCTATTAGCTTACGCGCAGTGCAACAAACGACACAGAACACACAGACAGACTCTTTCTTTTATTATATGTAGAGATTTTGCAATTATTGTAATAAGAAGAAGTAAAAAATAGAATAAAATCAAGCAAACAGCTTGGCATAGTTGCATTTTGAAATTATGATGTACATATCATAATTTTGAAATTAAATTATATTTTGTTAAAAATATTTGTCTTGGTACAGTGTTTCAAAAATAAACTTTTGCTTACTACATGAGCCTTTTTAGCATGCCAAAGAGCCATCAGGCATGGCCAAACTGTGAAATATCCGAAGGTTAAAATAGATCATCAGGAAATGGCAAAGATTAAAATGTACCGTCAGGTGCGATTAAAATACGGCTTAGGAACTATACTTTGGAGGAACTATAGTTTATATTTTGATGATATGAAATATTAATCTGATGATATGAAAGGCTGTTTGTCCTGTATTAAAATATATTTCAGTGCAGGGAAGTAGTCTGAAGTGGTTATTTCTTTTCTTTCAGAACTTCTTAATAATCTCATTGGACAACAGAATGCTAAAAAGGGAATGTCTAAAATATTTGATGCACTTCAAAATAAAACTTTCAACAAACAACTGTTTTATGTAAGTTTTTTTATATTTTGTCATAATATAAAAGGGGAAATTAGTTTTGTAACATTTGTGTTATCTCAATAAACGGCTTAATTTCTTTTCCAGAAAATTCTTGAAGCGTTTCTGTACGAATATGCTCCTGAATTAAAGCGAATAACATCATTATACAGCATTGATGGGGCACGCAGTTAAATATAAACTTATATTTTATTCAGAAGCTGTATCATAATGTGATAAATTTCTTAGTTATTAAACTTGTAAGTAGTTGTTAATAGTTCTTTAAGCATTATTCATATGTTATCTCATTAAAAAAGAAAAAGGGAAATATGTTATGAGTTGACTTTTACATGGAAGTCTGAACTTCATACCAGTTTTTATATATATATATATATATAGCTTTACTTACAATGTGTTAATAAATATTAAGTTATAATTATTTATTAAAAATTTATTTGAATTCTTTTAATTATACCATTTTGGCCAAAATTTAGGGTGATCTGCATTTCTAAAGATGTTTCATAAGATTTTAAAAAAGGGAGGAAGACATTTAAGATATTCTCCTGTGTATGAGCTTGGTATGTTCTATGCATTTTAAAAGATAACTAAATCGGTTAGATACAATAGTCTGAGGTAAAATTAAGTAAATGTTTTCCTGAATATTAAATCTGAAGAATAATTTTTAAAACATTAAACTGATGTCAGACAAGTGTGGTTTCTCTGAAGGTCATTTTAACTGAAAAATATAGTCTCATATTCAGATCAGCTTGATATATTCAGAATGTTTAATAAACAAACAAAAAAGAGTTTGTTATAAAAGATTCTTTGAATGTGAGACTTTGCATGTAATATGAGTATGGTTTTCTGGGCATTTTATGAGAACATAATTGGACCAGTTTGTTATTTACAAACTATTACATCATTCCTAATAGATTCTAGATGTTATTTTGTGTCTAAAATATTTTGTAATTTTTTTAATGTAACCTTTAGGTGTATTTTTCTTATTAGCTTCTATATAAATTTCTATTATAATTCTTTTGGTTTCTGTCTTTGTGTTTCATATGAATGATATTAATATTTAGTATAATTGCATGTCTTGCTATTTTCACAACATATTCAATTATAAAAATTATGATTATAGCTGTCAACTCTGAGGTTATTGTGATTTTTACATTATTTATTTGTTTAAGAAAAATTGTATATTTCATTTTTGTTTTCATGCTATTGATATCATGAAAGTTTTGTAATGATTGATTTATTAATAGTATTTAATAAAAATATTTTTATTGAAATATTTGTTTTATAAATACACTGCAAATTTTTGGTGTAAGCATATGTTCAATGTTATTGTTTTGCTATAAAACATTCCAGTATTTTGGGAAATGTGGAACTGCTTTACAACAAAATATAGTGTAGAATTCCTGCTGATTACCATTTGTATGATTGTTATGTCTTGTTCATATCAGATATGTAATTACTTAGAACAACAGTCTGTTTAGAATAATTATATTTAATACTGAAAAAAAAAACTGTTTTTAGCTCAAAAGGGCAATTAGTCTCAAAACATGATTTTGCTTTGATTCACTTTAAATGCATTGTTTTACCGTAATTTCTGGAAGAAGGCCACAGCAGCGTAAACGCTCCACGCGAGAAAAATGGCAGGAAAAAAAATTTAAATTACACAGAAACACCGCATCAATGTAAACGTCGCAATAGATTAAATTGCGTGTGACATCGTCGTGGGCCGTATAGATGCAAAATCTCAACCTAAGTCCTGATATATGACATATCAGTTAAGAAAAATGCATGAAATGAAACCATAATAACTCAAAAATAAATTAAAGGTAAGAAATGTTGAATATATATTTACGTTCACGTATATACTTATATTTACCCACTTAAGAAGTCCATATTTGTAATACTTAGACTATATTATAAAAAACGTTGCAACAACGAAATATTAAATTTGGATGACAAAAGGAAATTTTAGTTACAAAAGGAATTACAGCAAACTGTACATCATATGAAGCCATCAAAATCTGATTCTTCATTATATAATTAAAAAGATTTAGTAAATCCTGATCTAAGTCTAAGTCTTCCAGATCATCACATTCATCCTCTTGGTTTACAGTCTCTTTATCTAAGGATATAATTTCAGCTTCTTTGAACCCTGCTATTATTGACAATGTTTTTACCGATTTCCACGCACTTCCTACCCACTTTGCAACTTCTTCATAAAGTGCTCTACGCATCATAGTCCTTATCTAAGTCCAAGTCTTCCAGATCATCACATTCATCCTCTTGGTTTACAGTCTCTTTATCTAAGGATATAATTTCAGCTTCTTTGAACCCTGCTATTATTGACAATGTTTTTACCGATTTCCACGAATTCCTACCCACTTTGCAACTTCTTCATAAGGTGCTCTATGCATTTTACCGCTTTTGGTATACGTATGCAATCCTTCACTCTCACCGCTTTCGGACTTCAGCTTTGAAGGATTTATTACCTGACAAATCTAATGGCTGTAAGATTTTTGTCAAACCACCAGGAATTATTGCTTCGTGTCATCAGACAATTTTTGACATCTGGTTTTCCACTGACTCAAGTAAATGAGCACGCATGGAATCCATTATCAATAACCCTTTTGGTTGGAAAAAAGATCCCTTACAACATTGCCAAACTTTTTGTAGCCACTCATATGATTGTTTCGCACATCCAGCCATTCTCGTTCGCACAAATAATTACGTCATTAGGAATAGTCTTTCGTTTAAAAATGATCATGGGCTTTAACTTGCCACCGTTTGCGGCACAAGCTAACACACATGTAAATGACGTTCTTTCATGCCCCGTCGTAAGCACAGATACAGTTTTTGCACCAGTTTCATCAACAGTTCTGTTTGCAGGAGAGTCGAAAGCTAACGGCGTTTCATCCATATTTATTATCTGTGACTGAAGAAGTTTTTTTTTTTTTTGTCAATAATATCTGTCACATATTTTAGAAAAGATGCCTTTTTATCCTGCCAGTCCATTGGTAATTGTTGCTTGACTGTTGTTCTAGTACACACAGAAATATTTTTTCTTTTCATAAATCTGCTACACCGGCAAGGCCCTTCTTTGAAATCATTTATGTTCATTTGTTTTGCTGTAAATTTTGCTTGTAAGTGAAATTTTTACAGTCGAAATTGCCATTCCTTTTCCTTGTTGCTCCTTTATCCAGTTTGCAAGGTCGTCCTGTAGATTTGGCCACCTTACAGTACCACTTCTTTTGGCTCATTTCTGTTGTGGTATAATTTTAAGAAGTTCTTTTTCAGTTCTCCAACATCGAATACATCTCTCGTCCACTTCAAACTCTCGAGCTGCTGCTCTATTTCCAATTTGTTCATCACTGAAATTACATTAAGCTTAAAACCAGCAGTATAGCTTCTGTGCCGTTTAGGTGCTATTTTCAAAAATTTTCTGCTCTCTTCTTATTGAAAACTATCCAACAAGTATCTACTCAAACTGATGGGATCTGTATCTGGCAGAATGCCAAGAAAAATCAATTCATGCTGAAGGGGAAATAGGTCAGTTTGTTATTGTGAGGCAGGTGGAGTGGTGTCTGCCTTTGAAAAAAGTTGCAGAAAAGGCAGGGGTGGGGAGAGGATGGGTCCTGGAAGATTCATCCAATGGCAGAGGAGAGAGACTATTCAAACTGATGAGAATGTTGATTTGAAAGGGGGAAGAATGTTATTGTTCTGAGATCGGATTTAGGGTGAATAAGTGAATAAGGCATGTAAGTCGGTTCAAGGGAAAGAATGTTAACAAAATAACATTCGCAAAAAGCAACTGAGAGGTCTTTTGTGTGGGAACAGCACCAATCTATTATGTACAATGACAAGGCCATCCAAACTATGTACAATGACCATCATAGGAAATATTTTATTTTTAGTGCACCTAAACGCCACATGGGTAGAAACCCCGCACCCGCTGAAAATTTAAGTTTTAAACACGTAAACGCCGTGGCGTTTCTTCCAGAAATTATGGTACTTTTCATTCAAGGTCTGTTTCCATGTAGCGAAAAATAATACACTACAAAGTCTGTAATCTGGACGTCCATTATCCGGAATGATCTATAATCCGAACTTCAAAGCCGCAAACTTTTTTTCCGTATGCTTTATGCATGCGCGTTGGGAGGATGTGTCTCCAGATATGTTAAAAAAATGCTTGCATAATTTATGGCCAGCTATCATATTTCATAGTGAGGATGATGAAGATGATAGCCGCGAATTTGAAGGTTTTCAGACATCACAAACTAAAGGTGAAATTTTCCAGTTATTGGATTTTGGAAAGAAATGTGGAGAAGCGGTAATAAATGAAGTTTATATAACAGAAGTTTTTCATTGCGATGACAATGCCCCAATCATCAGTCAATTAACGGACGGCGAAATCCATAGTATAGATCCAGAAAATACTGCCTCTGATAGCGAAGAAAGTGTCAGAGAGGTTATTGAAAATGAAAAAATTTTGATTAACAAGTTAGTCGGTATTCTCGACACAGCAGTTACAGGACTTGAACACTGGAACTTTGAACAAGAAATTATGTCTGTTTTATAGAATTAAAGAGAGAGTATTAGCACTAAAAACGAAGCAACTTAAACAACATACATTGAAAGAAATGTTTAATAAACAAATAAATATTAAGCTTTTTTTTTTTTTGTAAATTTTGATATCCTTTAGATCATAATTACTCTTTATTTCATAAATTACGGTTTCATATTTTTACACACCAACACACACCATATTTTTAATTGTATAATTTCTGCATGCCATCTTACCAGATTTAAATTGATGATCTATAATCCGGAATCGCCGAAGTCCTGACAAGTCCAGATTATGGACTTTGTACTGTATATTTATCTTTCCAATTTAATCTATCTGTTATTGATTAGTAAACTAATCTATGTAAAAGTAATAGATGTAGTTCATAAGAATATTATTTTTTTTAATCTCATTGATTTAAATAAAGATGCATTTAATTTATGATATATCTAATTTAAAACATTAAATATTTTTATAGAATTACGTTATGTATATTTTTTCATTTTCCAAATATACAGAAGGTGTGTAACATTATCTGTTAAGTCTAAAATTATATTCATTATCCTATAAAATGTTTTGTTATTCCACATGGGTCACCTACTGATTATCTCTATTGATGAATCATATTAAACTTTGAAAGAGCTTTGTGGGAATTTATTAAAATTTGGACCCTTTTAGATTTCATTATTATTATTTTCTCTTGTTTGAAAGAAGTTGCAGGTTATGTATTTTTTCCTTCTACTAATCAGTCGTTTGCATAATTCAGAATGGAGTTCGCCAGTTGTGAAAACCAGGTTTCTTGCACTTATAATCTAACAATGACTCCAGCTGATTGCTTGATTTTACCATTCAATGAAAACAGAAAATTTGTGGCAATGTTTTGTTTGTGATAAATAGCTAGTTTTACGATTGACTTAAGCTTTTTGGAAATAATAGAATTTGCCAGCTTCCGCAGTAGAACAATATTTCACAGTCTTCATCTAGGAAAAGTTAACATTTATGTAATGCATTGTTTTCAAACAATGGAGCTTATGTTAATATCATTTTACTATAATTTTGTGTATGGTAGTAAGGAAAGACTGCAGTTTTAGTGTAATGAAGTTTCAGGAATAGGTTGAAATCTGAATTGTTCTCTATAAATGTCAGCTGGATTTATAGCTAGGAAAAGCAGATTCTCTTCCATGCCTTGTTGAGTGACCTGCCAATAGGAAAAAGTCATAACATTCTTCATCATATGCTCAATTTCAGTGACTGCCCTTCTTATTGAAGGTACAGCTAATTAAAACTCGGAGGAGTAAGATCAATAAATATTTGATCACTACACAGTACAAAGTCCAAGACCCAGAATTGTTGGGACTTTGCAATTCTAAATTTCTGAATTTTAGAATATCATTTTAAATATAGTAAAAGGATATGTAAACATGGTAACATTTAGACTTTGGTTATTGTTTAGGTCAGAAAGAAAAGTGCTAATGATCCTCTCCACAGGGTCAGTGCAAATACAGCTGGGTGGCCATAACTGGGTGTCAGAAAGAGGTGATAAAAATTTTAGAATTTAGAGCATCAAGCAGCAAAAATTACGGATGGCTGAATTTTTAAAAATTTAGGGAGGTTATCAAGCAGCAGAATTTAAGATCCACAGACATTACATTGGGCAACAAAATGCATAGCACCGGCCATGGGCTCCCCCAAGGGCAAAAATGTGATACTGGC